TGAGCTTTCTTATAACATATGCTGATTTTATTTCATAGAAACGAGCACATAGAGTATTGACCTATATTGGGTTTGTAGGCTAGAGTAGCATGACAGAAGTTTGACCTATAGCTTTTAGGGCATCGCACCATTTGTTAAGATAATTGAGATTTTAGAAAGGTTCATTGTTCTTGGGTTTAGCTAGATGATACCCATATCAATAGTTGTATCTGCGTACCACCTTTGTTTTAATTTATTAGAATCTAAATATACTTTTAAATGCATATTAGTTGTACCATTCTAATATTCAGTTCATAACAAAGTTAGAGACAAAGGGATTCTTCAATATGATTCAATTCATTAGTCTTGATTGAGTTTATATGGTAAATCAGGAGTTTTGCCTATTGAATCTTGTTAGTTTATAACAAAATGTTCAAATGCATCTCTGACATCTCTGTAATTTTGGGTTTTTTCAGGCAATGGCTAGTAGTAGAAGGATCTGTCTAGCTTTTAGCTTTTTTAATGTTACAAAATTACTTCACGCAAAATGGTTAATTGGTTTTAGCTTTGATGCTTCTAGCTTTTCATTTTTTGCAGCAATTATTTTACTTTCTTCATCAATTTGTTACATGGCTGGTAAAGAAATGGTGAAGCTGTCGTGAAGCTATCATGGTATGAAAGTGCCGTCTTATGTAGCATCATTAGTTTAACATGAAGAAATCCCCAAAGATTAACCCTTGAGATATGCATAAGCTTAGGCTTTAGCTTTCTGTTTGTACAATTATTATCTCATGCACAAGATAAATTAGTTAATTATTCTTGTTTTTGAATGATTTTCACACTACCTTAATAGTTGATTTACAAGATGGACTTTTTTTAATAAATTTTAATTGTAAGATTTGGTATGTAATAATGTTCCTTCTCCATTTTTTGTCACAATTGCTATGAAAGAATGCAAATTAGTGTAGACATGCAAGAAGTTAATAAGTCAAAGTGGTTGGTAGAGAGCTCTTAGTTATAATTGTTATTGATATAAAGCTATGGGTGATGCATGTTGAAGTTGTTGAAAAGTTTATATGTTGCTATAATCAAATAATACTTGTTGGTGATATTGCTCATTGATTCCCTTGTGCTTGTGGTTTTGGTTAGTAACTTTGTTTTTTTGACCAGAAAACATTCTGATTATTTAGAATTTTCCTTATCTTCCAATCAATAGTTTGTAATTGAATTTTTCTGGATGCGCATAGACCTAGGGCTATGGGATTTACCATTTTACCTTGCCTCTGTTTATTTCCTTCTCCTTTGTGGGTATCATTGAGACAACAAAATGCAACATGTAAAATGCAATACATAATTACATATGTTAAATGTGGCTAGAATTGGGAATTTGTTTACAAGTATAGATGCAAAATCATCCAGAAATATAAAGTATATGTATGTAGGATACTAGGATTCATTATTGACTTTACTGCTTTTTACATTGATTTTTTAGTGACTATGAATTAATAAGAGCATA